ATATGCTTCAGATATCCTCATTTTCTCATTCTCATTTATTTTCCTACCACACAAAGCAATAAGGCAAAAGATCTTAAAATCCAATTCCTCAGATACATTAATTGAAAAGTGTATTCACTATCGGTTTCTTTTCCAGTACTATCCGTTGCTATTTTCCCAGTTTAGCATGAATTAGATAAAACTCTAGACACTGCCAGTTAAGTAAGACTGACAGGGAGCTGGGAGCCCCAAATTAATTCTGCTGGTTCTTTCAGACTGAATTGTTCCTCTTCAGATTGTCCAGACTGTTACCCGGCACTCTGAGGCCCATTTGATGCCAGCCCTTAAGCAGCACACCTGCCTCAGTTGTGGCATTTCTTCTTCAAAGACCACAGCTTCAGTCTTTGTAGGGAACAGAAGCAATTAAATAGATGTGGCTCTCCCAGACTCTCGAGTAATGAGCGTTTTAAAAAGTGATTTCTAGTTGACACAATTTGCTAGATTCTACCATTCATTTAACTGCCTGAGCTTGCTTCCTTTTCTTCCTTAGGGCCAGTTGCTCTGATGGTTCAAAAAGCCAACCCTTCCTTTCACTGAAGAGAAATTATGTGCAGAAAAAAAAAAGGCATCAAAAGAACAGGTAGGCCAACATTAAACAACCACCTAAAATGCTGGGGTGAGCATCTGTCTGCTGCTTACGGGAAAAGATTTAGTCCTAATGCAGCCTGATGAACCTATTTACAAAATGCGACACTCAAACTCTTTTCGTGCTATGTAAAGAGTAAAATTAAGGGCTGATTTGTAGAAGCATCAGTGGACTTTATTTTATTACTTATTGCTCACACCTGGAATATTAATATTTATAAACTGTAATCTAGGTATATATTAGTAAATATAGACAATTCTGTATTTAAACTCCTATATACGCATGTGGACACCTCATTAATTACTCCATCCTCTCTTCATGGTACTATGTTATGGTCACAAGCAGGTGTGAGGAAACCGCTGAGGTCTCTAGTGACAGGAACCCTTTCTCACACAGGGCTGCCTTGCTGAACTAGTCAGTCTGAAAGGACAAGGGAAACAACTGGGTAACCCCACCTCAGTGACAGACAGTTTTAGAGTCATTTACATGTTGTTGCCCTGGTTTTATTTACTGTTGTTACCAATAGCTCTTTTGTAGCTCTCCCCATCCACTAACCAGGGCTGA